AAAAAAAAAAAAAAAAAAAAAAAAAAAAAAAAAAAAGAAAGAAATAAAGAAATAAAAATCTAATTGTGTGAGGTATGTTGTCAATATTTTGATAAAGATTGCATGAAATCTGTATAATAATGTTGATAGTATGTCCATTTTCACTATGTTGGTTCTTCCTACTCAAGAGCAAGAGATATTGTTCCATTTTCTGATGTCCTCTTCAATCTCCTTTTTCAAAGTATTATAATTTTCTTTGTTATATTGATTCCTAAAAATTTCATTTTTTAAATGTGATTGTGAAAGATGTGGTTTCCTTAATTTCTCTCTCAACAAGTTCATTATTTTTGTACAGGAATGCTACTGATTTTTCAGTGTTGACTGTGCATACTGCTATGCTACAGAATTTGATTACTAAATCTTTTGCTAGAGTTTTCAGGCTCTTCTACATAGAGCATCGTGTCATTTGTCAATAATGATAATTTAAACTCTTACTTTCTTTTACCTGCTTCTTTATTTCTTTCTCTTATATAATTGTTCTATCTAGGGTTTCCAGAACTGTACTGAAAAGGAGTGGTGATAGTAGACATCTTTGTTTTGTTACTGATTTTAGAATAAGGGCTTTCAGTTTTTGACCATTAAGTATGATACTGGCTGTTGATTTAGTATAGCTGGTTTTTATCAGATTGAGATGAAGACCATCTATTCCAATTTTCCATAGGGTTTTCATCACGAATGGGTGACTTTGTCAAATGCTGTCTTTTTTACATCTATTGAGATGATCATATGATTTTTGTACTTGCCAAGAATATAATATAATTTTGCTTTACAAAGTTGATTGGCAAAATGCCTACATCTCTAGACTAAATCTTATCAGGCCATAGTGGATAATCCTCTTGATGACTTGCTGTATGCTGTTTGTCACTATCTTTTTGAGGATTTTTGCATCTATGTTCACTAGGAAGATTGGCTTGTCCTCCTCTGGTTTTGGTATCAGGGCACTGGTTGCTTCCAGCAATGACTTTGAGAGTATTTCTTCCCTTTCAATTTCATTAAAGAGCTTGAGGAGTAGTGGCATTAGGTCTCTAAATTTCTCATAGAATTCAACAGCAAATCTGTCAGGACCTGGGCTTTTTGGGTTCATAGGCTTTTAATTATATTTTCAATTTTGTTGACTGATATTGAGTTATTTAGAATCTTTATATCTTTGTGACTTGGCTTTGGTAATTCATACATATCTTGGAATATTTCCATTTCTTCTGTTTTTCATCTTATTAGAGCAAAGGTTCAGGAAGTAGATATTAAAGATCTAGATTTCTACAAGGCCCACTGTGATTTCATCCTTTGTATTCCTAATTGCATAGATTTGAGCCTTTTCTTTCTTTTTATTTTAAATGATCATTTACATTTTTATGTACATAGATTGGCTAAGGGGTTGATAACTTTATTTGGTCTTTAAAAACAACAACTCTTTTGGGGCCAGGGAGATGGCTCGGTGGAATAAGCACTTCCCTGACAAGTGCAAGGGCCTGAGTTCATTCCCCGGTTCCGAAAAAAAAAAAAAAAAAAAAAAAAAAAAACTCTTTAATTCATTAATCTTTATGAACAAAACGTTGATCACACAGGAATTACATAGAATCAATAACAGAGTTCATCATATTAAAAAGCTTTGAATAGCAAAAGAAAATCAACAACAAAGTGAGAAGAAAAGCCACAGGGAGGAAAAAAAATTGTCAGCTGTTCCTCACACAAAGGACTAATATCTAGAGTATATAAGGAACACACAAAAAAATCAGATTCCCTCAGATTTAAAGACCCATTCCAAAAATAGGTATCTGAAATGAATAGACACTTCTCAGATGAAGAAGTAGAAATGCCAAGTAAATATATGAAAAATTGTTCAACATCTCTGGTCATTCCAGAAATGCAAATTCAAACAACACTGACATTCCATCTCACTCCAGAAGGAATACCTATCATCAAAAAACAAACAAAAAAAAAAAAATGCTGACAAGGTTGTAGGAAAAAAAATGAACCCTTCTTTACTGTTGGAGATTAAGCTACTATGAAAATCCAAGTGGAGATTCCTCAAAAAGCTAAGACTAGAGCTTCCATTCAACCCAAATATTCTCCTTTGGACCTTCCTGAACAAATTAAAAATATCATACCTCAGCATTTTGTAAACCTCCATGTTTATAGCAGGAGAGTTTGTAACAGATAAATCTTTTTTTTATTTTTCCTGTACTTTAGGGAAGGGTCTACATGGTGTTCAGGGTCTCACAACTAGATCAGACTTGTAGTGATCCACCTGTTTACAATCTCTCAAGAGCTGGGATTACAGGTATGAGCCACCAGGCCCAGCCTCAATTGCTGTCTCAGCAAGCCTCGGGTGTGGGACCTGCATGGCAGGCCCGGGGATGGAAACCCAGACACTGAGCCTGTTTCAGGCACTTTAATATGCTGAGCTATTTGGCCATCCTTGGAATAGACGTATCTTGGAAACAGCCCAAATGTCCATCAAATGATGAATGGATAAAGAAAATGTGTTTTTGTTATGTAATGGAGTACACATAATCTGCCTTAAAGAAGGACACACTTAACACTTTTCTAAGTAAATGGATGCACCTTAAGACCACACTCATCAGTAAAGTAAATTGGACACACAATTTGAAACATTATGTATTTTTGGGTGCTAGAAATAAAAAATGATGCTTGTTTTGGCAGCACAAATACTAAAATTGGAAGGATATAGAGAGGATTAGCATGGCCTCTGTGTAAGGATGACATGCAATTTCAGGAAGAGTTCCATATTTTTTATCTCAACCTCAGAAAGAATGGCTATCATAAAGAAGTCAACCAACAAGAAATGTTGGAGAGACTGTGGGGAAAAATGAACCTTCTCCACTGCGGTTGGGAATGTAGTCTGGTGCAACCATTATGGAAATCAGTGTGGAGACTCCTTAAAAAATTAGGACTGGAAGT